CTGCCATTCCCGAACAGACACGTGCAAGTTTGTCCGTGACCGCAGCCGCGTTGTCAGTGTTTTCTCCAGTCATTGGTCAGCATTATAATATATGCAAATACATGCGGGTCGGAATCCCCGCCCCCCAGCGCGCTCCCGGACACCAAAACAGTGCCAGCAGAGTGAAACTGAAAAAAGTGGATTGAAGCTGAAAAAAAAATTGTAAGTGAAAATAAAAAAATGATGGTTTCAATTAATTGTATTTCACTATCAATTTTTCAGTACATTTATTTCAGTTTCAATATTTTTTCATATTTATTTCAAGGTGGCATCGTTCTGATCCCATAAAAAACAACCAGAGTTGTGCAGGTTCACTACGACCAAAGCGCCACACAGATATCTTCCTTTTAAAAACAAATACGTGTATATGACAACTGTTCTTAAAAGAACAAAAACATCAATAATCAGCAGATTTAAAATCTGTTCTTGAGAAAAGCTTGTAGTATCCAAGAAACAGTTTGACTCCTTATTTATCTGCGACAGTTGTCTACTGAGTATTATTGCATTGTACCTTACAGTATTAAGCACCTTGAGGCAACTGTTGTTGTAATTTGGCACTATATAGAAAAAAATGAATTAATCGGAGTTTGTAACCACACCAAAGTATAGTTTAATAGTTTCATATCATATACCTGACATTTCCAGGACGCCTCTTCTTCCTGTTATACAGGAACAGTTTAGCAGGTTGTTGCACAGATCCTCGCTGCTATAGGCCTGTAAAGATTAACTTAAAGCATCATGTTAGAACTCAGTTAACAAGCTGTTAGCATCTGTCCTATCTGTGTTTCAGTTTTACCGTCAGATGTCCGCAAAGTGATTGTTGGTGAAGAAGAGCAGCAACAGTGGAGCCCCCTCCTGGACTCAGAGCACACACACATCAAAGAGGAGCAGGAGGAAGCCTGGAGCAGCCAGGACGCAGATCAGCTTCGACGTCCGCAGGAGGCCTGTGTCACCATATTAACATTCAGTCCCGTGAAAAATGAAGAAGATGCTGAGGAGAAACCAGAGTCCTCTCAGCTTCATCGCCATCAGACTGGAATGAAAAAAGAAGCCAGGAACTCAGACCCAGAAAGCCATTCAGAGCCAGGAACTGACAAAGCTTCAGACTCTTCTGAGACCGAGGTGAGCGACGGTGACTGGGAGCAGAACAAGGAACCTCAGTCAGGCCAAAAATGCCTGAAAAACCACAACTTCACTCTTATCGACATTAACTGTAACATTGAGCGATCGTTCAGCTGTTCCGAATGTGGTCAGAGGTTCGGCAGAAAGCCACACCTCAAAGCACACATGAGAATTCACACGGGAGAGAAACCCTTTAGTTGCTCTTTTTGTGGCAAAACATTTTCTCAGAAAGGAAACTCCATCAGCCACATGAGACTTCACACAGGAGAGAAACCTTTCAGCTGCTCCATCTGTAAGAAAAGTTTCAGGTACAGTGGTGACGTGAGCAGGCACATGAAAATCCACACAGGACTGAAAAAAGGCTGCAGCAAGGTTAGCGACATGGTCAGCAGTGGCATTCATGTGAGGTCAAGACCTGGCGGGAGCTTACATCCAGACACATCCTTACAACCAGGAAGTGATGTTAAAGCCCCAGAACCTGAGACTGAAGCCAACCACGAAACTTTGAAGGAACCCGGAGAATCTCTGCCCCATTTAAACTCTCTGAGCAGTGACGCTGTCTCTCTGAGTGAGATAAGAAGTACTGATAAGGAGGCGTTTAGCTGCTCTGAGTGTGGACGGACATTCTGCCGTAGAGACCACCTGATCAGCCACATGAGAACACACACTGGAGAGAAACCATTCAGCTGCTCAGTCTGTGAGAAACGTTTCAGCTGTAGCGGGAACATCTTGGCACACATGAGAATCCACACAGGAGAGAAACCGTTTGAATGTTCGTTCTGCGGGAAGAGTTTTAGCCAGAAAGGAACACTGCAGCTTCACGTAAGAATTCACACGGGAGAGAAACCCTTCACCTGCCCTTTTTGTGATAAAAGATTTGCGCACAAAAGACGCATGACGCTGCACATGTCTGTCCACACAGAGGAGAAACGGTTCAGCTGCAGCGCTTGTGACAAAAGGTTCACCTGGTATACGCAGCTCAAAACGCACAGGTGTGTTGGCGAGCCATCACAGCTCCGCCAGAACCAAAGTGAGAAGACAGTTCCTCCGAAGGAGTCCTTCAGCTGCACTGAGTGCGGTAAAATATTCAGCCTCAAGGGCAATTTGAAGACACACATGAGAATTCACACAGGAGAGAAACCATTTCGTTGTTCAGTGTGTGGAAAGAGTTTTAAACAAAACGTGCATCTGACTGAACACATGACAATTCACACAGGGGAGAAACTCTATAAGTGCAGCATCTGCGGGAAAGGATTCAATAAGAAGTTACTCATTAAAAACCACACCTGTGTTTAAGCTTGGACGCTGTATCAGCTCTGATGACATCCACAGATTTATATTCATAAGTCACTTAATATTAAAGCTGTAGTGATTCATAGTATGTTTCTGAGTGTTGCATACATTTTTGTCATTTATATTGAAAATATAGAGCATTGAGCCTAAATCTTCCTGCATAAGGTTTAAGTGCTGCATCCTGACAGCAACAAAAAGACTCTGGGATGTGCAATACAGTGGAACCCCGACTTACGAATGCCCCATTTAACGAAAAATTCAAGTTACGAAGGCACTTAACGGCAATATTTCTGCCCGAGTTACGGCAAAATGCCCGCGTAACGAAATCCCCTGGCTCTGATTGGCTGAGCCCAGAATGCCTACAATACCCACAATGCCTTCCGAATCATGTGACAACCCCCTTGGCTTTCGTACTTGCGCTTCGCTGTTCCACTTGAACGACGTATTGTTGTTGCAGTTAGCAATTAGCCTATTGTTCACTCAAAAGGCGCGATAGGTGCTTCGACTTTCGGTTTTTCGTAAATTTTCAACTTACGAAAGACCCTCGGGAACGAATTTATTTCATAAGTCGGGGTTCCACTGTATTTTCATAATGAACTCGTAGAATAGATTTGTCCAAAGAAGCGAGTATGTTGATTTAAATGTTTGTGGCTGAGCATATATGAAAACAATCCGCCTCACTTTTTAAATCTCTTTGTTTTATCAAATATTGCATCAAAATTATATCATTGTCTGAATACAAGAAAAACACACCTGTTTAAAATGCTGCAGTTTAGATGAGTTACACCTGACCCCCTCAGAATCAGCTCATCTTTCTTCTGCAGGAGTTTAGCATATTTAATCACACTATGTTAAATTACGTTACTTTATACTATGAGTATTTTCACTTACAGAACCTCAAAGTATTTGGTCTTCACTCTGTGACACTGCAGGAAACACAGACTATAGACCAAATCTGTTTCTGTTTGTCAGCATGAGCCATCACATAGTTCAGCATCAGTGTGATGAATCAGTCCTCTTTTCATACCAGGGTGATCTTAGTTCCTTCTGTGTCAAAATAATCTTCTGATATAGGAAGTTTTTAACCCTATGAAGCTGACTCGTGCCTGTGAAATCACGTTCTGTGTAACAGCATTAGGTCCTGAATAAGGTTTTGTGACTGTTTGAAGGTTCTGAATCCCAGAGAACTCGGGCTTAATGTTGAGCTTCTGCTCGGCTGCTGCTGCTGCTCGTTCATGTTGATCCATCCATGTAGAAGAAAGTCTGCTGGTGCTAAAGGAAGTCGGCCACTGACAGATTTTTCATGGAATGATGCTGCTGTTGAAATATTTACTCTTGAAACCTCCTGACTCCTGAATTTCCTTCCTTGCAGAAACATTTTCAGTTTGTGAATATGTGTATTTATAAATTTAAAATTCAGAGTCTAAAAGCTTTACTGTCTGCACACTTCTTGATTGTGAGGCTCACATGAAGCCGAACTTTGACAACATCCCTTTAATGGCTAATATATATATATATATATA